AATTTCCATGATGTAAAGATGAATGACAAAGTCCCTGCCTTTCATGAATTCACAAGTCAAATGGGGGAGACAAACTAAAAATTTTAAATTATAATGAAGTATAATATATGATGTTATATAGAGGTGAGCACACAGTGCTATGGGATGAGACAGCATGCCTGTCTCTGACTAGTAAGATTTCACTAAGTGTGTTACCATTGATTGGGGCTCAGAAGGGTTGAAGTCGGCCAAGCAAAGGGATGCAGTAAATAGGGCATTCTGAGTGTGGAAAGCAGTGTGTGTAAGGACAAGGTTTGGGTTCAAGTAATATCTGAAAAAGTACCCAGGAAGGAGCATGGCGGAGAACAGTAGAAGATGGAACTTCTCTAGAAAACACATTTACGGGGGCGCCTGGGTGGCTCAGTTGGTTAAGCGACTGCCTTCGGCTCAGGTCATGATCCTGGAGTCCCTGGATCGAGTCCCGCATCGGGCTCCCTGCTCGGCAGGGAGTCTGCTTCTCCCTCTGACCCTCCTCCCTCTCGTGCTCTCTCTCAAATAAATAAATAAAATCTTTAAAAAAAAAAAAAAAAGAAAACACATTTACATCTGCTGAACATTCTGGTCTTTATCTCCTGGGCCATCGGATGCTAGCCAAGGCCTTTATTGATCAAATTAGCTACTGCTTTTGTTTGGTCTTGGATTTCTCTCCAGCAGCTCTGTGGAGTATAAGACTGCAATGAGGAAGGACAGATAAGAAGTCAATCAAATAGGAGACTTTTGGACCCTCAGGGTTGAGAGATGGTGAGTGCAAAACTCGAGAGTGGCCAAATTCAAAAGATGTTCATGAGAAAATTGACAGAATTTGATGATATTGATGTAAGGAAGGGTCAACATGGCTGGTTGGCACAGAGGCCCTAGAAGGTGTGGAGAGGACACAGCCTCTGGGAAGCCGCCAAATAAGAAATCAACCCAAACAGAAACAACAAAAACCAGATAGGATATCCAGATGAATCTTTGGCTGACAGGCCAGGTGAATGAAGAGGGAGAACCCAGGCAGGAGCAAATGTACAGAAACCTGGGAGAACTGGCTGCAATTGTAGCAGAGGATGTGTGCTGGATCCTAAATGAATTTTCTGAGCTGCCTAGAGGGAAGTGACTTAATCTCATGCCCTGGCCTTATGTTTCAGTGAGGCAGGGGCAGTAAGACGTCCCAGTGCAACATGGTCATTTTAGCACTTTTAATAGAAATTTTGAATTAATCTAAATCCTTCATGAAGTGGGATAATGGTATTGATTAAGAATACTCCCTCAGAACCCTCTTACACTGTTGGTGGGAATGCAAGCTGGTGCAGCCACTCTGGAAAACAATATGGAGGTTCCTCAAAACATTAAAAATAGAGCTACCCTATGACCCAGCAATTGCACTACTGGGTATTTACCCCAAAGATACAGATGTAGTGAAAAGAAGGGACACCTGCACCCCAATGTTGATAGCAGCAATGTTCATAGTAGCCAAACTGTGGAAAGGGTCCAGATGTCCATCGACAGATGAATGGATAAAGATGTGGTTCATGTATACAGTGGAATGCTACTCATATTACATCAGAAAGGATGAATACCTACCATTTACATCGACATGGATGAAACTGGAGGGTATTATGCTAAGCGAAATAAGTCAATCAGAGAAAGATAATTATCATGGTTTCACTCATATGGAACATAAGAAATAGCACAGAAGATCATAGGGGAAGGGGAGGGAAAACTGGGAAGAAATTAGAGAGGGCGATAAACCATGACAGACTCTTGACTCTGGGAAACAAACTGAGGGTTGTGGAAGGGGAGGTGGGTGGGGGCATGGGGCAACTGGCTGATGGGCATTAAGGAGGGGAGGGCACATGATGTGATGAGCACTGGGTATTATACGCAACTAATGAATCATTGAACACTACATCAAAAACTAATGATGTATTTATGTGTTGGCTAATTGAATTTAAAAAAAAAAAAAATCCTCACCTAGGGCTCTTCCTGTGAGTAACTCAGACACTGCACAGAGACTAATCATTAACTCTGAAATCATTGAGGAATTATTTAGAATGCAAATCCTTTTTTAAAAACCTAATAGTGCTGCCCAAGTGTTAATTCATCTTCTCAAAGGGATAAGGAACTGGGCAGATACAAATAGATGTGTGATGACTATGTAGAAAGAGTCAATGATGACATACTTTGTCTCTGATCTACACTTTTTTAAGAGGTCCCTTTTTATGTGTGACATTCTGTAACTTAATTTTTCCTGTTTATGACATTCTAATGTTATTTAATTGCCAACCATCTGGATTTGCTGTTAGTATGAATCAGGTTTTTTAATATAATTAAGCCAGCTTATCTGTCACCCATTATAATTAATCCATTTTATCTTAATTACTTTTCCATTTCCAGAGCCAGTCATCACATATTAACACAAATACAGGAAAATCTGAGTCATTTTTGTAACATAAGTAATAACACAGAATGTCAGATATGTGCATACGCTCCCTTCACACTTTGGGGAAGGTTCAACATAATTTGGTAAAATACGTTAGTGTTTTGCCAGAAACACAGAAACCAGAAAAGAAATCAATATTTCAGTTCTCATTCACTTACTTTGTGAACCGTAGTCTTGATTCTGTATCCATCCAAGGACAAATTGTAATGTAGCAAGCCCTTCTGTTTCTGGTGGTAATTACAGGGATGCATTTGCCTGTCAGCTCATTCTGGTCACTGGTGCATGTGTGGGGTTTTTTCATTCACTTATTTCTTAATTGAGGACAACTCTGGATGTAGCAGTAAATGAGACAGAAGAAGGTTGTAACTCTTTGAGCTCACTTGGTAGTGGGGGAGACCTATAGTAAACAAATAGCAAGAGTAGTGATGAGTAATGTGCAAAGAATTTGAAAGGCGACGGGACAGAGAGTCAGTTCTGTAGATGGAGGGCTCGGAGAGGTCTCTCTGAGGAGGTAGCTCTAAAGCTGATACCTGATTGACAGGAGACGCCTTGAGCTGATCACAAGCATTACAGGAGGAAGTCCTAGCTAGAGCGAAGGCCATGACTAGGCGTATAATCTGCGTAGTGGTTAAGAGATCACTTTGGGAGAGGGAGAACGTTCAAAGTAAGGAGTGTGGATTTCATTCCAAGTGCTATGCGGAGCTGCTGAAGGGCTTTATGTGATCTGATTTGCATTTATAAAAGATCAGTCTGGCTTCTCTGTGGAGAATAGATTAAAGGGGGTAAGAATGGGAGCAGGGAGGAAGAGTCCAGATTGAGAGGTGAGGTCATCATCCCTTAAGTACTCCATGAAGTTATCCTATGCGTCATTTTCGAAGATTGATTCTTTGCACCGTTGCAGATTTCCTGTGGTTAGAGCGAACTATGGAATACTCTAGATTCAAATGGCTCTCTAGATTCAAGTCCAGTTTCTCCAACTTAGAGGTCATAGAACTTCGGGCAAGTCTCTTAACCCCTCTGTATTTCAGTTTCCTCTTATAAACACAGTGAAATAGTGGGGAGCCTGGTTGGCTCAGTCAGTTAAGTGCCCAGCTCTTGATTTCAGCTTGGGTCATGATCTCAGGGTCATGGGATCAAGCCCCATGTTGGGCTTTGCACTCAGCACAGAATCTGCTGGAGATTCTTTCTCTCCCTCTCCCTCTCCCTCTGCCCCTCGCTCAGCTTATGCTCTTGCTTTGTAAATAAAATATTTTTTAAAAAATGGAATAGTAATTTTACCTATTCATAGAGTTGTCAGAAGTGACTAAGAAAATACACATAGAAATACTTAGTACATGCTTATAGTAAGCACTCAGTAAATATTACTATATTTCTGTCTTATACTATGCCACATTCAGACGGCAGTACCTAGTAATGAGTTACAATTAACATTTTTAAGAAATAAAAAAATTTGTTCATGTGTTATTTTGATACTATTTTAGCATCTCTTAATCCTGTTTATTTAATTTGTAATAATATAATCATGTTGTTATAATATGCATATTATTCCCAACTTCCACATCTGGCAGTATTTATTTTTAAAGTGACTTCTGTTATTTGTGTGTTAAACACCTGTAGCCTTCTAGAGAGATTGATTGAATATTAATCACCTTTATTGTGAAGTTAATGTTTTCAGCCCTTAAAATGAGATGAAGGAGGGTGGGCCTTGGATCCTGAGATTATATAGATCATGTAAACACTGAGTTTATGGCCTCCACCAGGGCCATGACAACACACGGGCACTGCTCAAATGCATCACTCCTCTGCTTGGTCCTCCTGCTTTGGACTTCGGGTCTGTGTTGGATCTATGGCTAGAAAAGACCCTATCCATTTAGACCATAGGGTAATCTAGAAGCCTCGTAGTGAGTCTTTGGTTTCCCTGTAAACACTGGTTTCTGTCACTTTGTCAGGCTAGCTTGGAAGCTGGCTCCCACGATTTGTCTTTTCTCACTACTGTACTGATTGCATGAATACTGTACTGAATTTTGCAGAAGTCGAATTATTTCTAAATACTATAGAAATGATGATAGAGATTGGATAATATTTGGAATCAGTAACTAAATTAATGGGCGTGTGTGAATTTGTAACTTTTACACGTCATGGGGCTAAAACACCTGATAGCCAGTAGCCTTACGATTTTTCCTTCTGCCTCTTCCAAAGACCGCATGGTCCGGCTACTTAAGAGATTCATGGGAGCGTCCGTGTCGGCATAAAGACTCAAATGTGAATTCTCAGCTCTGCCGGCCCACATGGAACTGACAGGTGGGGCTCCCATCCATCCCACAGGCTCTTACATCTGGTGGGGGGCTCTCTGCTCCCCCTGCTCTGTTAGGAACAGGTTCCCTCCCTCCCCCCGGCAGTCAAATATCCCATCATTTCACAATCAGCACCCAACTGGATTATATTAATGTTAAAATTAATTTGTAAGCTTACATTTTTTTCCAGAAATACCTATGTGTGGACATAACTCCCTTTCTCTGTGTTTGTTTTTCTACCACAGACACGGGAGCAGAAAGACAGGCACTAAGAGAAAATGTGTATCCTAAATTGAGAGAATTCTGCAGAGAAAACTATGGATTAGAATTTCAGGTAACTGTGATATTAATTCCATTTTTAATTATGGCAGCTGAATAATGTTTGTGCTTGCTTATTGTCACAACTTCGGTGTTCTAAAAAACACGTTTCAAGCTCTGAAAAATTTTATTTCTTTAAGCATGGGTAAAAAGGAACACTGGAAAATGGAAAATAAAATATTTAGTCATTTGGGGGGCGCCTGGGTGGCTCAGTCAGTTAAGCGGCTGCCTTCCGCTTAGGTCATGATCCCCAGGGTCCTGGTATCAAGCTGCATTGGGCTCCCTGCTGAGTGGGGAATCCGCATCTCTCGGCCTTCCTGCACCCGTCCTTCTGCGCTCTCGCGTGCACGTACTCTCTTTCTCTCTCTCTCTCAAATAAATAAAATCTTAAAAAAAAATAGTCATTTTTGGTGCTTTGCACTTTTATGTTTTCTTGGCCTCTGTCTGGTATTGGCTCATCTTCTCCTTCTAACCATGTTTATTTGCTTCTCGGCAGTCTCTACTGTTCTCAGGAAGGTGAAGGTTGCTGAGCGCATGCCCGTAGGCTGTGGTCTCTAGAAATGGTTTGTACCTAAAAATTGGGACCAGCTCTCTCCCAGGTGTTTTCTTTTAGCAGCCTGGCCAGCCCTTGCCTTCTAGCTTGCCTTTTAGATTTTGTTCACATTGTAGAATGTCCTTTTTCCTATGTTAGGGATTTGCCATTTACCCAAAAAAGAAAAAAAAATCAGCCTTTCAAGAGACAATAACTGTGCATGTCATTGCTAAAGTTCATGAATACCCTGGCATTTGTAGACACCAATGATTTTACCACCTTTTCTATTAAAAGTACTAGAAAACATTGGGCATATCTTGAACATCCCCAGATTTAAAAAGTAAATGGCTCCTGGAACAGATAGCGTTATTTAGTCAAAAGTTTTCAACCTCATTCACAACGGACATCTTAACTCTGCAGTGCTATCTTAACTATATGTTTCCATTGGTAAGTCAGGAATATGTACCAGAGATTTGTGGTATAAGAGTGCAAAATGCATCTTTGTTAGTGGAAGAAAATTCCACCCTTCATTTATTTCCTCCTGAATATTTTATCTTGGTATACTTCATGATGCTTTCTCGTGTGATGTATAAAATAGTTGGTCTCAAAATGGCTTCCATCTCCGTGCCTACTGTCAGTCAGCAGCAGGCCATTATGACACACATATTGAAAAGTTACTCATAAGTCACCATTTGCTAGATAAATGGTGAGCCTAAATTAAATTCCTTGTTGCGAATTCAGCCCTGCCTTCTCTGAGGAACCTGGTTCTACTGATAACAGGGTCTCAATTGTTAAAAAAATTCTGATCTGTCAAGATTCCCAAAGACTTAGACACTCCTTGGGGACTCAGTTACCATGGAGAAAGAGATGTGTCCAAGAATGTTAATCCCATCTTTGAGTTTGTTTGGATATGCATCATTTTTTTTTAGTAGAGGGAGGAATTTGTTGAGCCACAGACCAGCCTGCATAAAACATGGTATTCAGATTAGCTGAGAGGAAAATAAAGAAAAATATATTTTCTAAATTATAAGTAGGCCCAGGAAAAGACTGATAAAGCCAGAGGAAAGCTGTAGAAGGCATGGTCCATGGAATAAATTGACAGCAAGGATCATTCTAGGCAGGTGCATTGAATGAGTCGTTAAGATACCGGGCAGCAGTGGAAACCGCATTGGGCAAAGAAAAGTTGGGACTGAACCCCCAGCTTTCCACTGTGACTCCCTCGGTCGGTGTTCAAAATGGGAGTGGTGACCACTTCGTATCTAAGGTTGTGTTTGGAATAAAAATATGCAGGGTTGCATTTGTTTCCCACCTTCTGAGCTTAATGGGAGCTCAAATATATGTCATACTTGAATCTTCTAAGATATACTTTTTAGTATAGTCTCTTCTAGTCAGTTGATTATAGACCTCCCTGAAGATGTGTTTTCTAGTGAGACGGTTCTCCTTTCTCAACTGCAACAAAATATGATACTGGAAGCTTCATGAAGAAAAAAAAAAAACAGTTTACCTGTATAGTACTCTGGATTTCATCTTTGGCTCTGCATTGAACCCAGAAGAAATGAATTTCCTACAGTTACCCAAACATACACCAATCCCTTTTAAGCTTCCTTGCCTTTGTTTATGCTGTTCTTTCCACCCACGATGCTCTGCAACCTGCTTCTTCCCCTGCCACTCTTGAAGTCCTACTCATTCTGAAGACTCTTCCTATAGATCCTAAGGCCCCTCTCCTTCTTTTTTTAAAATTTTTTATTGTTATGTTAATCACCATACATTACATCATTAGTTTTTGATGTAGTGTTCCATGATTCATTGTTTGTGCATAACACCCATTG